ACACACACACACACACACAAATAGTTTCATATTCGAGTATGAACACACAGAAATATGCAAGCACATATGGTCTGATGCCTAGAGCTTGTATACTGACACATGGGCTGGCAGAAGTTGAAACAGTAAAATGAATATGAATATGAATGAAAAGACAATCAACAGTCCGTGGCTTAAACATAACTACACTCTCACAGAAAAAAAGGATAAAGGCAGTGATTATTATTTGTCAACCTGGATGTACAAAAGTTAGACTTTCCACAGAACTTCTGGTTAGATATTTTCTAATGGCATAATACCAGATTTATCCATCCCAACTGGATCACTACTTTAGCCAGGTAACTGTTCTGCCAAATTTCAGCTAAATATGAGATATCTAATCAACAGACCAACAGACAGGATTGAAAACATAACCTCATTCCAGCTTTACTGGCAGGGGTAATCTGCTTAAATTCCTACACTGAATTAAAAAAGGCAACTACCAGCAAGCTTCAACTTTACAGAAGAGGGAAGATGTTTTTTTTTATTTGTTTTTGGATTTTTTTTTTAAATATTTGAAATCAAAATGCACAGGTAAATAGAAGAAAAGCTGAAAAAGACAAAAACTTTGAGTTCATTGTTCTGCTGCTTTGGTCTGAAAGACATTATCCTTTCAGCCCTTTGCTGGAGGAGAGAAGACAGATTGTTCTTACTCCCTGCTGTGATACTGGCCTATGTGACAAACCTTACAAACATGGCAAGGACAAAATGTGTATGTGTGTGTGGGTGTGCTTGTAATTGCATTTGTGCATTCTCATTACTCATTTGTCTATGCACAGATTCGTTGAAATATTTGTATGTGTGAATGTGTACTATGATTTATTGAAAATGTGTGTGTGTGTGTGTGCCTGTGTCTGTGCGTGCACATGTATAAGATCACTCTCAAGTTTGCATTAAACAACCAAACCCCAACTCCCAAAGGCTGCCATATGGACACTGAACTATTTTAGTACTGCTCATTCATATGGGCACACAAACACACATTCTCACCACAGGGACAAGAGGACAGTCCTTTTTTAGTCCATTAACAGCTTAAGAACAGACAACAGCATTCACTTTTGAACAGCGTTATGACCTATATACACAGACATGCACATACACACACACACACAAACTAGACAATACAAACACATTGTGACAGAAAGACAAACACCTAAACTTGTTGCTCAGTCAAGCAGAAAATGGATTGTTTCAAGTGGCATATGCGTCTGAGTCCAATATGTGTGTCTGTGCATGCGTGTGAGAATGCGTGTGTGTGTGGACTGTAAGTAGGACTTTCCACTGTTGCATAGTTCATGTTTATTTACCAAAAAGACAGAAAATTGTGTCGTCCTAATGTTAGTTAGAAGCTCCATGTGTGATACCATGTGAGAGCAAGAGAGTGAGATTGTGCGTGTGTGCCTGTGTAAGAGAGAGAGAACATTTGCATGAGGTGTGGGTTGGCTGTATTTTCTTGACCTGAAAACATAACACAGTTTTAATCAGACTCTTCTTATTTGAATTATATTGCTGATTGGGATTATTAGCATTTTGTATAAAATCACTGAGTGGGTGGACCACACACACAGTCTCTTTGCACTGCTGAGTGGGTGCTTTAGGTTTTTCTGCAGTAAGAGTTCAATTAAATAAACTATTCCATTTACAATATAATTACGGTGGAATTAATTATTTACACTTTTGATCTGCATCATCCAAAAACTCTCCACCGAAATAGGGGCACTATATATTTTTGGACTGCATCACATGAAGGGTAAAGATATAATGGCTACTTAACTCGTCCACCCTATGAGGTGTCAAACAATGTGGAATATTACTTTAGAAGTAAAAGGTGTAATCCCAGTGAGGAGCTAAATGTTGACAGTGTGGCTTCTGTTGGTGTTAGTGGGGTTAATGGGTTTCAACAATGGAGGTCACACCGCATGCAGAGACAAGGACAGGAAAGCTCCATATGGGTTGCGGTGACAGATGAAGACACACGCGTACACGGACACACACACAAACACACGCACACCCAAAATACTGGAGACAGCTGGAGAGAAATTGTCTGGGGTTAGTAGCTTCCTCTAGAAAACTCAATTTGCTATAGACACTATACGGTTGCGGGTGAAAGGACAGGGAATGATAGAAGAGGGTGTTGACGTTACTTATATATAAGTTTTGATTAACCGTAGGATTGACAGGACTAAAGTTGTTGTGACATTTAAATAACATGAAACATACATTAAATGGTACATTGTCTTTTAAAACTACCTCAAAATCTGATAAAATGACTGAAAAAGTTAGAGGTGGGGCCCTCTATGCTGTCTAGTGTCTCCTTTTAATCTCTGAGATTAAATAGATAGACCTGGTAGCTATCAGCTCTTTTTCTCTCTCTCCCTCTCTCTCGCTCTAATGCACACACACAGAGGCATACACACATTCAACAATAAATCACATTTGCTCTCCCCTGAAACGTATCAGTGGGTTTAAACCAAAATGACAGGAAGCAAATGAAAATATAACGTACGGTATCACGGAGGGACAATTTTCAACACGCAAGCAGAGTCAGTAATAGAAAATATTCATTCTTATGAGAGTGGGAGGTTGAAGGAGATAGAGGAAAAACAGAGTCTCTCTCATGCCTTTTCAAAGATTTATTTCTAGTGACAGAGATGAGGCAAATGAAGGGAAAATAAAATAAAGACAGTAAGGAAGAATAGATTGGTAGTGGAATAAATGAATGAAATCTGGGAATCTGGATTTGGGAGTAAAATGAGGGTATGGCAGAGCACCAGTGACAAAGAATGATTATGAAAATGTCTATATGTGATAAACTGAGCTCTAAACAAACAGTCGGCAGAGACAGACAGATAATGCTCCACTCGTGTATGAAGAGACCGCACAACAGAATGTCATTAAAACAGAATTGATGGCAAAAAGTGAGGAACAGAAGTGAAAGAAAATGCTAAAAATTAAAGCATGGATGGTATTTCAAAGCAGAGCAATAAAGGAAAGACTGATAGTTTGAGTAAAAGAAAACTAAAGAAAAACTTGCTGAAAATGTAAGAGAAAAGATTAGGCATTGGTTTTCGCTAAGTAAAAAAAACAGAAAAAACTAATTAAAAAGAAAAGCAGCAGCAAATGCAAAGAAAAAAGTTTACTACAGCGTCTGCTTGTTCAATTTTCAAATATTGATGAGATGAAGAGTTAATAATTGATAACTTGCCTTTGCATTAAACTAAATTCAATCTCACACTCTTATTCAGGAACAAAAAAAGACCAACACACAGTTGTCGCACAACTTGGCAGCAACAACAGTGAGAGAACATTTCAGACTACTTTTGCAAAAGAGGCCACTCATATTTCCAATTTACTGCTAAACTGCTACTGCTAAGCTATAGCTATGACCTTTGACATTATTACTACTAGAAGCATTACTGTCACTCTCAGTAAGTTCCTGTGCGTATGTGTGTTCACCTCATATTCCTCCTTAAAACCATAGCCTTGGCCACATTTCATCTGGGTGATGTGTTGGAGGAGGTCTGCTACTCGAATAGCTGGTTGAAACTGGCCTGCTTGGAACTGACCTGCAGGAACAGAAACGTTTTACAGAGAGAGAGAAAAATGAGTGCATAAACACAAAGATGAATAACAAGTACGTGGGAAGGTGAGTGGGTGGGTGGATGAATGGATTAATGCAAGGATCCTGAAACTTGTTCTACCAAATTGCATTTCCCTCTTTATGAAGTTCATTCATTCTGATTCTGAGAAATTCCGATCCATTCTCTAAATTACCCTAAATTTGCTCAATGAACAAAAACTTACTCAAAAAAACTAAACAGAACACACAGAACTCTTTAACTCCTAGACGACTACATGACTGCAATGTTTTTTCCTTCTTTTTTCTTTTTCAAATCTGAGCTATATAGTACGTTTTACAAATTGTCAAATATGTAGGTGGCTGTGAAAACATGTTTTTTTTCTGTATTTACCTGATATGTCAATGTTATACCTCCAAACAAAGAAAGGGACCACCTAACTGAGGGACTATTTAAAACAGTCCACATACCACTCTGGTAGGAGATCTCCACCGACTCGCATCCTCCATAGGGAAAACTCTGCAGGGTCAAAGAGGGCTGGGAAAGGGAAGGCTGGCTACTATCTGTTAGAGAGTGAGAGCCATAGATGGAAGTGAGACGGGCAGAGATATTAGCAACATTTACACCAAGTACAGACATTCTGCCCTGTACCATATGTAGACACTTAAAAAAACAATCATTCCTCCTTTAAGTGACATGTTATGAAGTAAAGGTGTTAAGTAACTTATCCCTAATTGGTGAACAGAATGCTAGGACACTTAAATTAAACATCTGTCCTCATTAGGGGTAATGACAGAATTCATTGGATGAATGTGTGGTGTCTAATAGTGAGCACAGGTGGAGGGATAAATGAGAGTTCAGGGGACTGAGCTGTGACTGGAACAAAAAAACAAACAATTTATATTTTCAGGTTGGGCATAATACATCTGCAAGGATGTGGGAACCTAAAACATAGCTGTTGTATTCATTTTTCACTAGAATAAACAAGCAGAATGCTCCGGTGTGACTACTTAATAGAACCTTTATTTGTTTTCAGCAGTTACTTCCTCTTTTTAGAGCTGTACAAGTCACCTTTTGCACCTCAGCCAACCAAGTAAAACGTGATATTTTCTCTAAGGGAAAATTTACAAATGGACAAAACAGAAAGACACCGAAAGAGGGAGCAAAGAGAGAAGACTATCTGCAAACCCAACTCAGGAAACGTTTGGATGGTTGAATAAAAACAGAACGTAAAAATCTGCAAATTTCATAAATTCACAAAACGTATCAGATGTTTCAACTGTGGCATTTTACTATTTCGTGAAAAGTACTTGCTCATTGTAAATTTGATGGTAACAACACATCTCGATTTATGTTTCCCACTGTCCCGATTTTTTGGAATTGGGGTTGCATGTATACTGAGTAAAAAGCAATAGTGAGAGGAGTAAAGGACAGTATGAAAAAAAGAGAAGAAAGAAACTGAATTTGTTGTGTGACGTCTGTGTCAGATTATCTGAGCTGTGATATCTTCTCACCATAGCTTTAATAAATAAACATTTTGTTGAGTGATGGGGTAACATGGCTTATATGCCGATACTTTCAGTCTCAACTGTTTTGTCTCACTTTTGTGGGTTGTAATGTGAAACGGCATGACTCTTCTTTTTCTGGCTGCTCCCTTTAGGGGTCACCACAGCAGCTCATCTTCCTCCATCATCCTATCCCTACCATCCTCTCTGTCACACCAGTCCTCTGCACATCCTCTACAACCAGTAGCCTGCTTTGAAGCCTTGCTCTTCTTGTCCTACCTGGCAGCTCCATATGCAACATTTTTGTTCAATATATCCACTTTCCCTTCTCTGCACATGTACAACCCATCTCGGTCTGATATATTAAGTTTTCAACTGTTTATTAGTGCCACTGTCTCAAAACCATAAATGATTACGTGTCTCTCTACCATCTTGTAAAACTTCACTTTCACTCTCAACCCCAAAATAACCCCAAATAACCTCTCTACCTACTCCATCCTGCCTAGCAACCTTCTTCACCTCTCTTGTCAGTTGCTTTGGACGGTTGACCACAAGTATTGACACTCATTTGCCTTGACTTTATTCTTTGCATGTGCACATTTCCACTCGTCTCTTTCCCATTCACACACATATATTCTTTCTTGCTCTTTCCTTCTATTGACTTTCATTCTAGGGCTGGGACGACGCGTCAATGTAATCGATTACATCGACACGTAAAATACGTCGACGTAAAAAAATGTGCGTCAATGCGTCGTCACTTTCAAAACAGACATGGCGGCAGCGAGTAGCGGCAACACGAAACAGAAACGTGAAAAACTGCAACAAAATGGATTTTGTTTGTGAATGAAGAGCACTTTTTTTCAGAAAGCAAAGTGAATGTTACATTTTGTTTGTTTAAAGACACCATTGCTGCTATTTATTTTAAATGTTTTGCTCCTCCTTGAATCGCTACCTTATCGTGGTGGAGGGGTTTGTGTGTCGCAGGGATCCCAGGGGCTATGTTGTCTGGGGACTTTTGCCCCCTGGTAGGGTCTCCCTTGGCAAATTGGTCCTGGGTGAGGGACCAGACAAAGAGCGATTCAGAAGACCCTT